CATGCCTGTAATCCCAGCTACTTGGGAGGCTGAGGCAGGAGAATAGCTTGAACCCGGAAGGTGCAGGTTGCAGTGAGCCGAGATTGTGCCATTACACTCCAATCCTGGATCCTGGGAACAAGAGCGAAAGAAACTCTGTCTCAAAAACAAACAAATAAATAAATAAATAAATAACAAAGAGGCACGAACCAAGGGAAAGGTGTGAAAGGGCATCCAAGGCAGACAGGACAGGTCAGAGCAGTATGTGTGTCCCAGGAACTTCATGCAGTGCAATCTTGCTGAAAAAGAATGAGGCTGAAGAGTCAGGCAGGACCAGAGAGCAAAACCTTGCTAAGACGCCTGCGATTTAACCTGCAGGCAGGCAGTGGGTCAGCAAAGGGGTGTTCAAGCACAGGTCACGCCGTCGACTTTGCATTTTAGATGGGCCACTCTCACAGCTATTGAGAAAGTAGGTTTAAAAAGACAAAACAGAGGCAGATAGGCCGGGTGGAAGAGTGATGTGATCATGCAGGCAGGTGACGGATGATGAGAACTCAAGCCAGGCAGTGGGAGTGGACAGAGAGATTCAGGAAATAGAATCAGCAAGACTCCAGCGGGTGGGGAAGGCAGAGGAGAGTCAAGGGGGGTGCGGTGACTATTTGGAAGGTGATGCCAACTCAGAATAAAGGAGGAAGAACGGGTTTAGAAAGAGAAGAGTTTGGGTTCAAACAGATACTATTTGAGGTGCTGGGAAATAGCCAGGTACAGATATCCAGCTTTCAGCTAAACACACAGGCCAAAAGTTCAGCTGAGACTTGCACTCAAATCACAGAAAAGTCAAAGATAGTATCTTCCTGAGCATTATACTTCAAGACAGTGGTCCCAGGCTTGGCTGTGCGTCAAATCACATGGGAACCTTTTAAAATTCAGATTCCCTGACCCCATCCCAATTTACAGAATCCTCCTATCTTCAAGGCTGGATGTTTTTATTCTATGGATACAGCAGTTCCCTCTTATCTGCAAGGGATTAATTCCAAGATCCCCAGTGGATCCCTGAAACCACAGATAGTACCAAACCCTGTATATACGATGCTTTTTCCAACATGTATGTACCTATGGTAAAGTTTAATTTCTACATTAGGCACAGTAAGAGATAAATAATAAAACAGGATAATTATAACAATATACCAGAATAAAAGTTATATGAATGTGGTCCATCTCTTTCTCTCCCTCTCAAAATATCTTATCGTACTCTACTGACCTGTTTTCAGATCAAGGCTGACAGTGGATAAGTGAAGCCAGGGAAAGTGATCACAGATGAGGAGGGACGACTGTAGTTCCAAGCAGCATAAAGGCCAGGGAGATTTTCAAACCAAGAACCAGGGTTTGAGTGTCAGACTGGATTCAAATTCTAACCACAATCCATTAGCTCTGTGACCTCAGGCAAGTTACCTACCCTCCAAGAAGCCTTCCTTTCACCACTGGAAGGGCACTATAAGTAGGTAAGGCCTACTTACCACACAGGCTCACTGTGAGAAGGAAAGGCTGTAATGCACCATCCTCAGAACACAGGAACTGCTGAGGAATTAGCAGCTGCTTTCCCTTTTAACAAGAAGGTCTCATCACCCTGTATTAATATCTACATAGCACCCCTTTTTTTTCTGTCTTCTTTCTTTACCTCCACCCATTAAACTCAGAACGGAAGCTTCCTGAGACACCTGCCAGCCTGTTCATTGCTCTATCCGCAGTGAACCACCAGGCTTGTGGTAGGTTCTCCCCAAATTCTCCCCTGTCTCTACTAAAAAATACAAAAATTAGCTGGGCGTGGTGGTGCGCACCTGTAGTCCCAGCTACTCAGAAGATTGAGGCAGGAAAATCACTTGAACCTTGGAAGCAGAGGTTGCAGTGAGCCAAAAACGCACTACTGCACTCCAGCCTGGCAACAGAGTAAGACTCCATCTCAAAAAAAGAAAAAAGAAAAACATCATTTGTACGGGTGTATGTATACTGTATACCGATACACAAAACACACACACACACATATATATTCACATATATATTCATATATATATATATATATATATATAACCATAATTACAACTATGATTAAAAATACAGTTGGAGGCCAGGCGCGGTGGCTCACGCCTATAATCTCAGCACTTTGGGAGGCCAACGTGGGCAGATCACAAGGTCAGCAGATCGAGATCATCCTGGCCAACATGGTGAAACCCCATCTCTACTAAATATATATAAATTAGCTGGGCGTGGTGGCGTGCACTGGTAGTCCCAGCTACTCGGGAGGCTGAGGCAGGAGAACTGCTTGAACCCGGGAGGCAGAGGTTGCAGTGAGCCGAGATTGTGCCACACTGCACTCCAGCCTGGCGCCTGGCAACAGAGTGAGACTCTGTCTCCAAAAAAAAAAAAAAAAAAAAAAAAATACAGTTGGAGGTCAGGCATGGTGGCTCATACCCAGAATCCCAGCACTTTGGGAGGCTGAGGTGGGCAGATCATGAGGTCATGAGATCAAGACCATCCTGGCCAACATGGTGAAATCCCATCTCTACTAAAAATACAAAAATTAGCTAGGTGTGATGGCGTGTGCCTGTAATCCCAGCTACTTGAGAGACTGAAGTAGGAGAATCGCTTGAACCAGGAAATCAGAGGTTGCAGCGCGCCGAGATCACACCACTGCACTCCAGCCTGGTGACAAAGGGAGACTCCATCTCAAAAACAAAAATAAAAATAAAAATACAGATGGAGAGAACACAATGAAACAAAACACACCAAAATGCTAATGGTAACTATGTTGCAGAGTCATGAATAATTAGAATAATTGGTAGGGTTTTTTTCCTCTTCTTTATGCTTGTTTTTATAATAGTTACATCAGCTTTATACCAAAAAGATTAATTTTCATAATTTTAAACATTCTTTGTCTCTGCTGCTTAAATCAGAATAAATTTCCATGATTTTCAAAGAGCCTTCAATCTAGGCTGTTCATCTCTTATTCCAGAATTACTTGAGTGTATACTGAGTGGTGGGTGCTGTCCCAGGGCCAAGGACACACAATGAAACCTGGTCCCTTTCCTCAGGAGCCTGGGCCTGCCAGGAGAGAGAGACACATGAAACACCTGCCTACAGTGAAATGTGACAAAGCTGGGACAGAGGTGGGAGTATTCCAAGTGCTATGGGGAAAAGGTGGCAGAAATTCACCCTTTGGAGTGGGGCAGGAAAGGACTCTACAAGCCCACAGTGTGGCCTGGCCACGAAGCAGGCTTTGCTCCGTGGTGGTATCTGAAATACCTTATTCTGACTTGCCCAACTCCAGAGCTCCACATTGCTAGATCAGAAAAAGCAGCACTCAGAGAGTAATCAACACTCGAGGAGCATGTCCTTTGTGTCGCTCAATGAGCTAGCAGATGTTACACACAGTCTCATTGGATCCTCACTGTGGAGTAAATATTATTATGCCTATTGTACAGATGGGATAATCAATGTCTGGAGGTTAAGCAACTTGCCCAAGGTCACACAACTAGTAAGAATTAAAAGAGATGTCAGAACCAGTATAACTCAGCCTATGCACTTAGCTACACTAACATGTCTACACACCAGTCAATAAAGTTTTGCATGAAACCCTGGTTCTCAGGAAGAAACAGAAGAAACCTCATCTCCCCTTCTAGTTAACTCTTCACATACCAGCAGAGAGGGAAGTTGGTATTACAGAAAAAAAAAATAAAATCACTAACTTGGGCTGCTGTGTCTGACAAGCCTAGTTTTGAGTCCCAGATCTCCACTGATCAGGACTTCATAGCTTCATCTCCCAGAATTCCAGCTTCATTTGAAAAATGAAAATTAAAAGTAATACCTAACATACATAGGGATGTTACAAGGCTCACCTGAAGAGAAGAAAAGGCAGTGTACCAGCAAGGGCTTCATCAATGACTTAAAAGTGCTGTGATTGTAGATGGATGGAAACCTCCATCAATTTATACAGACTCTTCACCACCACCCCTGCCCATGCTCCCTATCAAATTCTGGAAAGCAGATAAAGGAATAGTAAAAAAGAATTGGGTTTCTAGAAAACAGGCAGAACAAAAGAGGGGCTTTCACTGATCCTCAAATATCTGTAGACAATGTGATGGGTTTAGAAGACTGTGGAATCCTGGATCCTTCCTACCCGAGTATGGTCTGAGAACCAGCAGTGTCAGCATCACTACTGACATTTCTACTGCTTGTTAGAAATGCAGGTTCCCAGGCCCCAGTACAGCCCTGCCAAATCAGAATCTGCATTCTAACAAGAGCACCAGGTGACAATATGGAAGTGATAACTACTATACATGGTATCTTGAAAGCTGGTCTATCCTTATGATTGGATAGCCTGAACTGTATATGTCAGAAGTGATAGAAATGAGAAAAATAACAATAAAGCCTAAAGATGCTCCAGCTCCAAGCCTCAATTAATGCCTGCATACCAAATTTTAAAATGACAAACCTTGATATCAAGTCAGAACTGTATGCTGTTCATACGATTTTAAAAATAAGAAGTCAGTACAAACTACAATGGGGGCAAACCCTCCCTAGAAGAGAAAAACCGGCGAAGTTTCCTGAGCAATGAAGGAAAGTATCTGCTCTCTATCCCTTACAGGGTTAAATCTGATAGTGTATGGGAAAGAAAGCCCCTTAAAGTGAAAAAAACTCTATACATGGTAGGATTATTCTCCTTGAATCAAGTCACTTTAAGAACATATTACTGGCATCACAGAATTGAAGGGGGCAGAGCAATTTCCCATGAGAAGTATAAATAACAGGGTGTGTGTGTGTGAGAGAGAGAGAGAGAGAGAAATTAGCCTGTTAGCCTCATTGGAGTTAAGAGCCCCAACAGCTGGCCCACAACTCATAAGTATATGCAAAAGATAATAACCTAGTAAGGGGAAACCCACAATGAGTTTTGTGCTAAGAAAATAGCAAACACACCTCTCAATGAGTTCTGCTCACTAAGGAGTGAGTCAATGCATGACACTCACCCAGCAGGGCAGCCACTATGCCCACCAGCCCCGTGCCAGCACCCAGCTCCACGGCAGAGCGGCCCCTGAGCTCCACAGCTCCCATCTCCAGATATGTGGAAAGAACGATGGCCTGAGTGAAAACACAGTGTGATGATGATTAAGGTCAACATGCGCTTTAGGAGCTGCAGGGTTTCAGGTCAGCTACACACAACCCTCTCCCACCTCAAGGTTCAATTCCCAGCTTAACAACACACATAGGAATTTAGCTGGTACAAAAAGATAACCTCCCCCTTAGAGCAAGCACAGGGCTCCACAGCAGTGCCCAGAGACACTGCCCATACAAAATGGGGTCCTGCTGGGTCTGGAAAGCTTAATTTTTTTTTTCTGAGATGGAGTCTCAGTCCATCTGTCACCCAGGCTGGAGTGCAGTGGTACAACCTCGGCTTACTGCAACCAACTTCCACCTCCCAAGCTCAAGCGATTCTCCCATCTCAGCCCCCACAGTAGCTGGGACCACAGGTGTGCACCACCACACCCAGCTAATTTTTGTATTTTTTTTTTTTTCTGTGGTAGAAGACGGGTTTCGCCATGTTGGCCAGACTGGTCTTGAACTCCTCAGCTCAACTGATCTGCCTGCCTTGGCCTCCCAAAGTGCTAGGATTATAGACGTGAGTTACTGCAACCAGCCTGGAAAGCTTAATTTTTTACTGTGTCACGGCACTTTTACATTTGAAGTTTACACAACTATTCTGCAAGAACTGACATGAACAATTTCTATGATTTTGTTTAAGTTCCTAAACCAAACTCAGGTCAAAAAGCCACAACTTCACCCATAGGGAAAAAGCAACACATTGCCCAGGGCTCTCTGAGCTGCGTCACTGACGGTCATCGCCCCACAGGGGCCCTCGTCGTACATTCTGGGCATCAGAAGGTAAGTTTTGGCCAAAGTTTTAGATACCTGATGTGTGGTTTTGCATTTGCTTATGATCCTACAGAAAGAAGTATATCATGTTAATATAACTTCTACTGTATTTCTCACAGCCATATACTTTGAGTATAACTGGCAATTCCTCTTCTTGGTGACCATTTAGGAGGCTTCCCATTCCTCATTATATCTTTTTTTTTTTTTTTGCGTTGGAGTCTCATTCTGTCATCCAGGATGGAGTGCACTGACACAATCCCAGCTCCCTGTAACCTCTGTTTCCCAGTTCAAATGATTCTCCTGCCTCAGCTTCCCCAGTAGCAAGGACTACAGGTGTTCACCAACTCACTCAGCTAATTTTTGTATTTTTAGTAGCAATAGGGTTTCACCACGTTGGCTAGGCTGGTTTCAAACTCCTGACCTCAGATCATCCGCCCACCTCAGCCTCCCAAAGTGCTAGGATTACAGGTGTGAGCCACCTCACCGGGCCTATAGCTTTATTATTACTAGAGTAATTTTCATGAGGTTACCTGGACTGGGTTCCTAGAAGTGGTATTACTAGGTTAGAATATATTGAGATTTTTATTTCCACATGTTTAACATCCCTAACAGTGTTAAAACAGTCAAACTGTATTTATGCCAAGTATGCATTCAACATTAATTGAGTTCCCACTGAGTCCTAGGTGTGGTGCTAGATGCTGGCGGCACAAGTCAGACAGAACAGTGCTGGGAGAGGAAGAAATGAAAAAGCAGTTGCAATTTTTTTAATGATTACAACTATGGAAAACTTATAGAAAGCACATAATCTTCATTTTGGGCTCTGCCACTTTACAATTCTCTATGCAATAAAGAGACTAACTCAGTGGGACACGGTGGCTCACGCCTATAATCCCAGCACTTTGGGAGGCTGAGTTGGGCAGATCACTTGAGGTCAGGAGTTCCAGACTAGCCTGGCCAACATCATGAAACCCCATCTCTACCAAAAAATACAAAATTAGTTGGGTGTGGTGGTGCACACCTGTAGTCCCAGCTACTCCAGAGGCTGAGATGAGAGAATCACTTGAACCCCAAAAGCGGAGGTTGCAGTGAGCCAGGATCACATCACTGTACTCCAGCCTGGGCAACAGAAGGAGACTACCTCTCAAAAAAAACAAAACCAAAAAGTTACACCTATAACCCCAGCACTTTGGGAGGCCAAGGTGGGTGGATCACTTGAGGTCAGGAGTTTGAGACTAGCCTGGCCAAAATGGTGAAACCCGTCTCTACTAAAAAAAAAAAAAATTAGCCAGGCCTGATGGTGTGAACCTGTAGTCCCAGCTACCTGGGAGGCTAAGGCAAGAGAATCACTTGAACCTGGGCTGCAGAGGTTGCAGTAAGCTGAGATCCTGCCACTGCACTGGTGCGACAGAGTGAGACTCCTTCTCAAATTTAAAAAAAAAAAAAAAAAAAGAGAGAGAGAGAGAGAGAAAGAGAGAAACTAACTCATGTCCAAAGCAGTTGGTGGCTTTCCTTCGGGTCCTCTCTTACCCAGTGTGTAATTACTGGCAAGTCATTAACTTTCCTCAGCCTTCATTTATTCACCTTTAAAATGTAATCTATGTGGAGAGAGTAGAGAAATGACGTAAGGGATACGGGTTGGGTGTGGCAGTAACAGCAAAAATGTTGGTTAGGTGGATAAAGGAAAAAAAAGAAAAAAAATTGAAGTGGTGATAGTTGAGCTACTCTGTGAATATACTGTATGTTTAAAGCCGCACTGAATTGTGCACTTTAAATAGGTGAAGTGTATGGTATGTGAATTATAGCTCAATAAATCTGTTTAAAAAATAAAAATAAAAAATAAAAGCCAGTCTTACAAGCAAGTGTGGCCATTTTCAGAGGTCCCCCAGAGCTTACTTACCGCATCCCAAACCACCGCTGCGACTCCCAGGTGTCTCCAGTCCTGCCGGATCTGGATCGTGTGGTTTGCAAAGGAAAAGGTTGCAAAAGGCTTGTGGAATTTCTGCAACCCCAATTCCGTGGTCTCCTCATAGGGCACCAGGGCCATTCCGCCTGCACCCGCCCTCTGCTCACACCTGTCGTGCAAAAGAACCCTGGGTGACGCTCTGGCTGGAAGGTACATTATCTTTTTTTTTTTTTTTTGGAGGGGGGTGTGTGTGTGTGTGTGCGTCTTGCATTGGAAGATACATTTCTTAAGTAACTCCAAATGCTTTTTTACGGTTTTACAAGTTCAAAAGAAAAAACGAAACAGGTGGAAGAAGACTTTGTCCAATTTCTTTTGCATAGCTCTTCCAAATCTGAGTAAGATTTCGCTCGGAATTTGTGTCAACGGATGTCTTTGGGAGGAAAAAAAAAAAAAAGCCCAGAACATTCCAACTTCTGCAGAATGCCTTATACACTGCACTGCTGTCACTCCGTGAATTCAGGGCTGCACGGGCGGTGACCGCCCAGGGACCCAGGACAGCCGGGAAAGCAGCGCTTCCTACCCAGCCCGGGCGCCTGGAATGCAGCTGCAGCCCGCCGGGCAACCCAGGTTCTTCTGTTGCGGTTTCGCCACCCACCTCCCCTCCTCCATCGGCTGCTTCAATGGTGACAACAGTGGGACCGAACCTGCCCTTAGACTGGGTGTTAGCGATTTGATAAGCCAGAAATACACGGTCGCCGCAGCTCCGTCTCCCCCGGGACTGGAAGCGAAAGGCATTGGGAGCCTCCGAGTCGCTCGCGGGGACAGCAGGGGCTCGGAAGCCTCCCCGAAGTCCCCCTAGAGCGGCCCCCCACCCACCCCTCTCCGGGGCCGACCGGCGCGCCCTTCCTGCCCCCGGGCCCGGGAGCTGAGGCGACCCTCCAGGGGCGAGATGGAGACCGAGCAACACAGGGCCTCTCACGACCCCTAGGCCATACTGGGCGCCGTGAGCTGCCCGGCGGAGCACCCAGGGCTCGCCCAGCCCGGGCCTAGGCGCCGCCACGCCGGTACTTACGGCTCCGGAGGCTGCCCCGCGTGGGGCGCGCGCTCCGCTTTCCCCGCCCCAGGCTGGCTGCGGAAACCGCCAGCCTTAAAGAGCCCGCGAGGCGCAGGCGGGCGGCCCCGGCCACGCGTTTCCGGTCTCCCGGCACCCCACCCCCTGCAGGTGCCCGCGGAGCCCGCGGCGGGGCTGGGCCGTGAAGGGGGGGAGGGACGTTGCGGGGACCCGGGACAGGGGCTTTCCTGCGTGCGTCCCCAAGGCACAGGGACTACCAAATCCGTTTTTCCGCCCGCCGAGGGAAGTGCTGTGGGGCGGGAGCGAGAGCCAGACCCGGATGCCGAGCAGCCGCGGGTGCGCAGGGAGGGTATGGGGTGCCCGGCTCTCCAGGCGGAAAGGAAAAGCCACGCACCTGGCGCTGAATGTGCTCCTGTGCCGGCTCCACTTTTCTATCCTGTGCTCGGCCGTTCTCAGCCTCGGACTTTCTCACTTGCGCGTTGTGCCTGTTTCTTAGTTTTAAAGGTGGCGGGCTAGCGAGTGATGGAGACAGCTCGCTCCGAAGAATGCGTGGTCACTCTTCTCCAGCGTCTCCACGGTGGGGTCCGAAGCGGCGTAATAGCCCGCTTGGCTGCAATCGAGTGGAAAAGTCAGAAAGCCCTAATCAACTAAGGCGCGGTGGGGAAGTGAGCACGTGGCGCCCGGACCTAAGTTTTTTAAATGGGGTCGGGGACGCAGCGGTCTCGGCTGCAGTCGGGAGCGCGGAGCTCCGGGCGCGCGCTTGGTCCCAGCCCCGGCCCTGGGCGGCGCTGCAGACCCCAGTGCCCTAGTTTCCTTCCTCTGGATGCCGAGGCGCACCTGCCCGTGGGGACCCACGCAGGACGTGGAAGGTGCTGAGGGCGTGTCACCCTGGCCGCAGGCCCTGGAAGAGTGCGAGGCTGGAGTGGATCCCCTTGAGTCGGACCGCGCAGGGGCAGGCATCCTCCTCCCGGGGCCCTCGCCCCACGCCGCCGCGCTCTCAGGTAACTCTCAGCGCGGCTGCACGTTAGAACAAGCTGGGGTAAACTCCCCCACCCGCATGCGGGCCCAAGAGCCCGCTGTGGGAGGGGGCCCGAGCGCTGATTTTTTTTTGTTTTGTTTTTGAGACGGAGTCTCGCTCTGTCGCCCAGGCTGGAGTGTAAGGGCGCCATCTCGGCTCACTGTATTCGCCTTTCGGGTTCAAGTGATTCTCCTGCTTCAGATCCCAAGTAGCTGGGATTACAGGTGCATGCCACCACGCCGGCTAATTTTTGTATTTTTAGTAGAGACGGAGTTTCACCATGTTGGCCAGGCTGGTCTCAAACTCTTGACCTCTGGTGTCCGCCCACCTTGGCCTCCCACAGTACTGGGATTACAGGCGTGAGCCACTGCCACCGCCCCCGACTCCGAGCTCTGCTATTTCTAAGAGCTCCCCGGGGGCCCGCGCCTGCTGCCCTCGGTGAGAGCATGGCAGGAGCCTGAACCTCCCTTTCCGGGCCTCTCCCGTCCGGTAGGCGGCGTCCCCGACCTCCAGATTAATCTTCCATTGGAAGGCTGGGGCCTGCAGCTTCGAGGATAACCCAAGTGAGCTTGGAAGACCGCCATTGAGGGTCTTTTACCCCCTTTTCTGTTTTCTTTTTTGGTCCTCTACCTTTCCCTCTCAATATTTCCTTTCTGTCTTACCTCCTGCACTTGATGTTTCTGCCTCTCAGCTTTCCCTTTATCTTTTTTTTTTTTTTTTTAAACGGAGTTTTGCTCTTGTTACCCAGGCTGGAGTGCAATGGTGCAATCTCGGCTCACTACAACCTCTGCCTCCTGGGTTCAAGCCATTCTCCTACCTCAGCCTCCTGAGTAGCTGGGACTGCAGGCACGCGCACCACCACGCCCAGATAATTTTTGTATTTTTAGTATAGACAGGGTTTCACTGTGTTGCCCAAGCTGGTCTCCAACTCCTGACCTAGTGATCCGCCCACCTTAGCCTCCCAAAATGCTAGGATTACAGGCATGAGCCACCACACCTGGCCACCCTTTATCTTTTTTAAGACCTCGCTTTCTTGTCCTTATTTTCTCTCTCTCTGTCCCTTTTTGTGGGGGGAACCAGCATTGGGCACAAGAAAGAATATGTATGGGCTTTGATACCAGACAAATACGGAAAATTTACATTCTTCCTCTGACTCTTTTAAGTGGGATGACCTTGGGAAATTACTAAACCTCCCTAGATCCCAGGCTGCTCATCCCTGAAGCCTAGCCTGGAGCCTTGGGCCCCTTCTGTTGCTTCTCCCTGTTCTCCATCCTTTCTGCTGAACTCATGCATGTGACCTCAAAAAAACAAAGCAAAACCTTCCCAACCTCTCCAGCGCTCTTAACATAGAACATGTGCCTCATTATATTTACATACAGGTTATCTAGGAAGATGTCACTGACTTTTTCTCAACCATCTTGTCCTCCCAATGTTCTAAGTTGTATCAGATAGATGGCTCAGGAAGCACCAAAAGGAATATTGAGGAACAGGAACATGTGCAACTTTCATAGCAGCGTAGCCATTAAACAGAGCTCTGTTTTTATCAAAATAAGCCAGTAGCGGGGTGCAGTGGCTCATGCCTGTAATCCCAACACTTTGGGAGGCCAAGGCAGGCGAATCACCTGAGGTCAGGAGTTCACGACCAACTTGGTCAACATGGTGAAACCCTGTCTCTACTAAATATACAAAAATTAGCTGAGCATGGTGGCAGGTGCCTGTAATCTCAGCTACTCGGGAGGATGAGGTGGGACAATCACTTGAACCCCGGACGGGGAGGTTGCAGTGAGCCAAGATGGTACCATTGCCCTCCAGCCTGGGTGACAGAGCAAAACTCTGTCTCAAAAAAAAAAAAAATAAGTAAATAAAAATAAGCCAGTAGTCCACTGTAAATATTCGAAAATAAAATTTTAATCGTAAAAATGTTGGTGTGTGGCAGATTGTGTATTGTTTAGAATAGTTGGGCCAGTGTGGTAGCTCACGCCTGTAATCCTAACACTTTGGGAGGCTAGGGTGGGAGGATCACTTGAGCCCAGGAGTTCAAGATCAGCCTGGCCAACATAGTGAGACCCCATATCTAAAAAATAGCTGAGGCTAGGGGTGCACGTCTGTGTTCCCAACTACTTGGAAGGTTGAGGTGGGAGGATCATGTGAGCCCAGAGGTGGAGCCTTCAGTGAGTCCTAAAGTCATACCATGGCACTCTATCCTGGGTGACACAGCAAGACCCTGTCTCAAAGAACTACTGACAGTTTTTTTTTTGTTTTTTTTTTTTTTTTTTTTGACACAGGATCTTCTCACTTTGTCACCCAGGCTGGAGTGCAGTGGTGCAAGCTCACTGCAGCCTGGACCTCCTGGGTTCAGGCGATCCTCCCACCTCAGCCTCCTAAGTAGCTGGGACTATAGGCACACACCACAACACCTGGCTAATTTTATTTTTGTATAGAGAGGGTTATGACATGATCCCCAGGCTGGTCTTGAATTTCTAGCCTCAAGCAATCCCCTCACCCCCCACTTCGTCTCCCAAAGTGCTGGGATTACAGGCATGAGCCACTGAGCCTGGCCTCTCCTGACAGTCTTGTTGGGAATATGCAGAAAGATATATTTACTTTCTGCATTATTTGTAATTCCGAAGTGTAGTTTAATTGTAACATAATGGTGTATAAAATGTATCGTAACAAAACAGTATATAAAATTTTCTTATAAAAAGGTGGACTAGGCTCTTTCTCCGGCCCTCTCCTGGACCCTTAGTACTAAAAAAGGAGCGTGCCTGGGCACCTCCTGCAGCTCAGCAGGCTCCCTGTGCTGCCTCACACTGCTGGACTCTCATCCCCACTCGGCCCCTCTGGGACACAGAATTTAGGGCAGAGTAGAGAATAACTTAGTACTCCAGAGGCTTCTGGTTGACAGCTTTTACTTTTTTTTTTTTTTTCATTTTTTTCTTTATTAATCTTTTTTTCTTTCTCTCTTTTTCTTGACAGCTTTTACTTTTATCTGAATTACTAAAATGACCTTTCCCCAATCCTATGACTCCTGACTGCAAAATAATGGTAGAAGGACACTTAGGCCTTTGTTGCTGCTATCTTCGGGAACTAGTCCATGTCTAAGGTCACAGTAGAAGCAGCCACCTTGCTACAACCTTGGCACAGCCTGATCCCTGTGCCCCCCCCAGGCATGTTCTCTTTTTAGGCCAGAGTGGACACCCAATCCCGCGATGGGTACATAATTCTCTGCACAGAAGGAGAGTGCAGAGTGGCTGTCGGACATCTCTTGTTACTGCCCGCCCAGCATCTATTTCTCATTTTCCTGGTAGCAGCAGTTCTCTTCTGCTGATGGTCAGGAGCCCAGCTTCTGGAGCGTAAGTTCTGTGTCAGCTCTCAGCTGTGCCATTTATTAGCTGTGAGGGCTTGGGTGAAATGCATCAACCTGTTTCTCAACGTCCCCATCTATAAAATAGGGATCATGTGATGCTTTTATTAGTTAACAACAAAGATAACCTGAGATTAAAATGAGTTAACTTATCTACTTAGAACCACCCCCAACAAAAACATTTTGTAGAGCATTTGCTTATACTGTTATGTGTTGGACTATGTCTCTCCTTAGACCTCACTACATGATCAGGCACATGTCCCAAGCCCAGCCAATATGAACACATTCCTTCCACCTGGCCGCACGTAGGTGAAACGTGAACATATAACCAAAGCTGGGTTTAACCAGAGCCCATTCTGAGACTTGGGACTCTCAGAGAACCAGCCTGTTGGGGAAGGATAGAAATTTAGAGGTCCTATTGGTCATCTGGTCCCAAGAGAACAAAACTGGCAGAAAATGTGGCCAGCGAAAGCGCTGGTGGAGAGAGTCTGCCTCGTGGTGATGTTTGGCCACCTGGAGCCAGCTGGCCTGGAATTTTCTGTTATTTGAGGCATTAAATTCCCTAATTAGCTTAAGCTGTCATTTGAGCAGCTTTTCTTTTTTTTCAGTCTCCTGAAGAAGAAAAACAATCCTGGCTGGGCGCAGTGGCTCATGCCCTTAATCTCAGCACTTTGGGAGGCCGAGGCGGGCAGACCATGAGGTCAGGAGTTCAAGACCAGCCTGACCAACATGGTAAATCCCCATCTCTACTAAAAATACAAAAATGAGCCAGGCATCGTAGCAGGCGCCCGGAATCCCAGCTACTCAGGAGGCTGAGTCAGGAGAATCGCTCGAACCCGCAAGGCGGAGAATACAGTAAGCTGAGATTGTGCCACTGCACTCCAGCCTATGAAAGAGCAATACTCCATCTCAAAAAAAAAGAAAAAAGAAAAGCAATCCTAATACATTCAGTCTGGGCTGGTCCCTTGAACAAAGGAGATATCAAGCCATGCCTTTATGGAGCCATCTTCACTATGCAATGTATGTGGAGAAATACTACAGAGAGCAGACACCAGCAGAAGCTTGGGGCTCAGCTGCCAGTTGCCAGGCTTACTGATTCTTCTCTTGTCCTGAGCCCTTCCTGGCTGCACCTGGGCTCTTAGGTCCCATGGGATCCCAGGGTAACCCAATAAGACATTTCCGTTCCTGCTTAAGCTGTCTCAAGTGCTTGTAACATACAACCAGAGTCCCAGTGAGAAGGATGATTTTTGTTTTTAGGAAGTAATGTAAACAGAATATAGACATTCTGTAAGCTCCTCAGACCTGGTTTCATAATGGCTAACTTCTATCATATTTGCCAAACAACCTGATCCTAACAGATGGCTTGTATTTGAAAGACGTTAGTCCCCTCACACTTG